ACGCCCCAAGAGGACTCCAAGAAGCTCCCAAGAGACATCCGAATGTACTCCGACAGGCATCCAAGAGGCCACTGGCCTTTCTGCTGGCCCTCCTCATCCTCCTGCTCCTCCTCCCCGACCTCCTCTTCTTGTTTTTCCTCCTCCTCCGCCTCTCCCTCTTCCTCATCCGCCTATTCATCCGCCTGCCTCCTCCCCACTTCCCCCCCCCCCCTCCCCCTCCTCCTGCAATTCCCCCTTCGTCGTCCCCCTCTTCAGGTATCACGATCTCCACAGCCTTTCACTCCACTGCATGCTCCTCCGCATCTCCCATCAGTGCTCATCAGGGCAACTCGCCTGGCAATCTGGTTTCTGGATGGGCTGGTGGGGTTTCGCGAAGCGTCTAGACTTGCAACGAGCGGTACCGACCCTCGTCAAGCCGTACCCCGAACACCCACCGGCTGCAATATCCGCGAGCGAATTCCCCCCCCCCCCCCCGAGGGAAGTGGGGCACCGTGCCTCCCGATCTGCGGGCTCAGTAGGAAAGGGATCCGCGATCCCGCGGCCGCGATCCCACGACAGAAACGATGGCCCTGCGCGCTCAGAAGGCCACGATCCCTCAACAACAACAACAACAACAACAACAACAACGACAACAACAACAACAACACCAACACCAACACCAACACCAACAACAACAACAACAACAACAACAACAACAACAACAACAACAACAACAACAACAACAATTACTAGCACGTGGGGACACTCCGTTCTCACCAGTGCCAGGGTTTTCATAGGAGGCGGGCAATACCCCCACTTTGTGGGGGGGCCGGTTCAAGCTCTACCAAATTTCCAAACGACTCTTCGCCACCACCCACACCCAGCTTCCCGCCCTATGACGTTCGGACACTTCACTTCGTGGCATGCGGACGACCGTGGCTACTATTCAGGGCCCCGCGGCCGACGACGACGGCGTGCGCGCGCGAAGAAAAAACGAATGTGTCCCGCATGGTATTATTTGACAGGGATGATGGCCCTGGCAGGTGCGCAACCGTTGTTGCAGAAGTTCGAAAAAGTTGCTCGCAAAAGCCCGTTTGACAGAAATGTTTAAAAAGTGTTGGGTTTCCTACGAATCCGCAAGAGCGCGCGGGATGAAATTTTGTCAATTTTTGTTTGAAAAACCATTGTTTTTTTTTAAATGTTTTTATGTTAAAATAGCTACGAAAACTAAGGTTTTGGAAGGATTTCGTCTTGCGCGCGCGAATGTCCACTTTACCTCATTTTTTGCAAGGGATTCTTGAAGTTTGGATATGTTAGAACAAGAAATGTCCACGTTAGCTTATTTTTGCAAGGGAAAACCGATCGTAACAACACAACCGGATCCGGACCAACCCGTTTTGCCTGAGACTTCCTCACGAAAATGATGAAAACGTGGCTGCGGCCTAGGCGCGGCGGGGGGGTCGTGCACCAGGGGTCCCAACAATAATTATTCTTTAGAAGTAATAATGTTCAACAACAACAAGTCCGTTTCCCGAATGTCCCGTGGCCCAAAGCGGTGGACACGCCTTTCCAAGGCAACGCCCCCGTGCCGAAGAGCCGAGACAGCGTGATCCGAGGCAGCACCCCCCCGAACATGAATGTAAATCTCATACCGGGCCGCGACGCCCCGCAAGAAACTCTGGCTCTGCGCTCCCAAGGCCACGACACCCCAAACGACAACCACCAAGCAAAAGATCCGCGTTCCCGAGGTCACAATCCTTCGTACCAATGCGGGCGCACTTCCGCACCCGCGACGCGGCGCGCCTCCTGCGCGCGACGCGGCGCGCCCGCCTCGGGCGGCCCTCGTCGACCCGGTCGCCTCGGGCGCGCCGCCTCCCGCAGGCGAAGGGACGTCGCCGCGCGCCTCTCGTGGATGCCGCCGCGCTCATTCCCAGCGGTCGGGGGGTCGCGTGGGGTTGCGCGCCCGAGGGCGCAACCCCGAGTCAAGAAACTGCCATGCGGACGCGGCCGCACGAGACCCTCCGCAAGAAACCCGGCCATGATTAGCCTGGCGAAGGACCCAACCATACGCAGTTGTGAATACCGCAGTTGTAGGTATCGTCTTCGGTGGAGCCCCCTTTATAGGGCCACGAGACGCTGTACCGGGCAAGGGAGACGCATGCGGACTGCGCCACTGGGACTTTCGGTGAAGCTTCTCGTAGGGCCTTGGAACGCTGTACTGGGCGGGGGAGACGCATGCGAGTTGCGCCATTGGGACTTTCGGTGGAGCTCCCTATGGACCCACGAAACATTGTACTGGGTGGGGGGAGACGCATGCGGGCTGCGCCCCTGGGGCCGTCGGTGGAGCTCCCTATGGGACCACGAAGCGCTGTACTGCGTGGGGGAGACGCATGCGAACTGCGCCACTGGGACCTTCGGTTGAGCTCCCTATGGGGCCACGAAGCGCCGTACTGCGTGAGGGAAACGCACGCGGTGGAGCTCTGTATGGGGCCATGAAGCGCTGTACTGGGTGCGGGAAACGCATGCGAACTGCGCCACTGGGGCCCTCGGTGGAGCTCCCCACGAGGTCACGAAACGCTGTAGTGGGTAGGGGAAGCGCATGCGGGCTGCGCCATTGGGACTTTCGGTGGGGCTCCCCATGGGGCCACGAAGCGCTGCACTGGGTGGGGGGGAAGCATGCGGTCTGCGCACTGGAACCTTCGGTGGAGCTCCCCTTGGGGCAACGAAGCGTTGTAGTGAGGGGGGGGAACGCACGTGGGCTGCGCAAGTGGGACATTCGGTGGAGCTCCCTATGGGGCCACGACACGGTGTACTGGGCGGGAGAGACGCATGCGAACTGCGCCACTGGGACATTCGGTGGAGCTCCCTATAGAGCCACGGAGCGCTGTACTCGGTGGGGGGGCCGCACGCGAGCTGCGCCACTGGGACATTCGGTGCAGCTCCCTATGGGGCCACAGAACGCTGTACTCGGTGGGGGAGACGCATGTGAACTGCGCCACTGGGACCCTCGGTGAAGCTCCCCATGGGGCCACGGAGCGCTGTACTGGGTGGGGGGAGACGCATGCGATCTGCGCCACTGAGACTTCCGTGGAGCAGCGAAACCCTGTACTGGGCGGGGGTGACGCATGCGAACTGCGCCACCAGGGCCTTGTGTGGAGCTCCCTATGGGGCCACGAGTCGCTGTACTGGGGGGGATGCGAACTGCACAAATGGGATCTTCGGTGGGGCCCACTGTGGGGCCACGAAATGCTGTACTGGTTGGGGGCGACGCGTGCGAACTGCGCCACTGGGACCTTTGGTGGGGCTCCCTCTGGGGCCGCGCAACGGTGTAGTGGGCGGGGGAGACGCATGCGAACTGCGCCACTGGGATCTTCGGTGGAGCTCTCCAAGGGCCCACGAAACATTGTACTGGGTGTGCGAGACGCATGCGAACTGCGCCATTGGGACCTTCGGTGGAGCTAATTATAAGGCCACGAAGCGCTGTACTGGGTTGGGGAGCGCCACTGGGACCTTCGGTGGAGCTTATCGTAAGGCCACGAAGCGCTGTAGTCGGTGGGGGAGACACATGCGAACTGCGCCACTGGGCTCCTCGGTGGAGCCCCCTTTTGGGCCACGAAGCGCTGTACTGGGTGGGTGGGGGAGACGCATGCGAACTGCTCCACTGGGACCTTCTGTGGAGCCCCCCCTGGGGCGGCCACGAAGCGCTGTACGGGGTGGGAAAACGGATGCGAAGTGCGCCATTGGGACCTTCGGTGGGGCTCCCTATGGGGCCACGAAGCGCTGTACTGGGTGGGGGAGACGCATGCGAACTGTGCCACTGGGACCTTCGGTGGAGCCCCCTCTGGGACCACGAAGCTCTGTACTGGGTGGGGGAGGCGCGTGCGAACTGCGCCAAAGGAACCTTCGGTGAAGCTCTGGGGCCACGAAATGCTGCAGTGGGTGAGGGAGACGCATGCGAGCTGCGCTACTGGGACGGGGCCATGAAACGCAGTGCTGGGTGATGGTGATGACGATAACGACGACGATCTGCGGAGGGCAGAGGAAGGGGTGGGAGGCGGAAGGAGGGGGAGGATGAGAGGAGAAGGAGGAGGAGGAGGAGGAGGAGGAGGAACGCGGGGCGCTGTCTTGTCAAAACCAGGACGTAACACCATAGGATGGTTCGGAAAAAACACGCAAGCGCGAAGTGCAAGCGGTGGAAACCAGAGCACCCTGAGCGCAGCAGCTCGCTCGACGGCCGCAAGAAGCCCCCGCGCAGCGCGCGGAGCGAAGAAACCAAAAGGTTCCTTGACAAAACGCAGTCGGCTTCTTGATGCGCGACTCCACCTGTGTGGTTTCGCGCTCGTGCGGATGTTGTTGGTTCGTTTTGCCACGCTGCGTGCTGGATCCAACGAGTCGGGCTGACGGCGGGACGCGTCCGTACGGCGGGTTCGTGTCGTGCCGCCTTCGGCGCTGGTTTCTGACACCACGGGGATCGTGCAACCTGGAACGATCGGCCGTTTGTTTCCGAAACGTCAGATCGTCCAACATCGACCGACTCTGGGTCGCCAGCGGCGATCAGCGTTGAACGCTGGCGGCGGGGTCGCTGCCGGTCGACACGACGCGAACCTACGGCAGCGAATTGCAGCGGAAGCAGGGGAGGGACAAGAGGGTGATGGGCCTGTTCTCCACCAAAAGGAGGAGGACCCCCTCCCCCTCCAACTCATGGTGGTGGTGGTGGTGGACAACCGGCCCGTCAGAGGGGGAAGGAAGCGGCCGCCACTCGTGCCGGCACGGTGCCTCTCTGCAGCACTCGCTTGGGTGCGCGGCGCGCGCCCGCACGGCCGCGGCCCCCTCGCAGAGGGCAGCGGGCCCGCACTCCCGGGGGCCTCGCCCCCGGGCATGCTCTGAGCAGGTTCTCTCAGGGTGGAGAGCTCAGGGGTGCAATCCATATGGGCTTCCGCACCTCGAATACCAATCCGTCTTGTGATTCACCTTCTGCAGATTCAAGCCTCGAGAACCCATCGAAACAGCATTTCGAGTTTCACCCTTTGCCCTCCACCCAAAGAACATGCTCGGCTACTGTACCTGATCCGTGCCCCGGTGCCGCGATTCCTGCCGAGGCGAATCCGCGCTCGCGAAGCCCTGATCCTTTGTAGAACCGGCCCGTGGAGCACCCCCCCAGGCCCGAAGGCTTCCCTGTAGCTTCCTCCCGTCATCGCGAACTCGCCAACAGACCGGACAGCCACCCAACCAGCCAGCCAGACAACCAACTGGCCTATACGCCATGCAGAACGTATCCTTGTTCTTGTTGTCAAGCATGGAGGGGGGCGTGGTGGAGAACGGAGGGCAAAGGAAGAGGGCACGAGAGGATGGATGAGGGGAAGGACACGGGTGGTTAGGAGGCAAGCTAGTTGCGCCCGCACCATCTCTGACAACATACCCCTCCCGCCCATCCCTTTATGTTGCGCTGATGTTGTCTCTATTCGAAGACGCGTGTCGTAGCGGACATGGAACTCGACGAAAGATCCCATCGTGTTGTGCACAGTCGGAAGAGCGAGTTGCGTGCACTGGAGGAAGAGATGGCGGATGAGCTGGAGAACGATAAGGAGGAAAAGGAGGATGAGTAAGGAGGAGGACGAGGGCGAACAGCAGCAGGAGCTGGAGTGGAACGAACGGGATGAGCCCGAGGTTCGGTTCGGTTCGGCCATCCTCGAAAGGGGGGTCATGCCCCCTCAGCCGGGGGAGTGCGCCTCTAAAAAGCGGCACAGTCCAGATGAGCCCGAGGAGGGGAGAGGAGAGAGGCGACTACGATGAGGAAGGTCTCGGATCCAGAAAAGTGGCCCGCGCTGGGGCGAGAGCGGAATTCCGAACGACGGGAACATGGCGCCGATCTTACAATTACACCAAACACCCGCAATTTTCGCTCTACGGCCCGAAGAGGCAATCGTGAGATCGATGGCGAGCTCGATCGTGGGATCCCAAAATCGGCCCAGAACTAGCGACCGGGAACCCGGGAACCCAGGACTGGGAACCCGGGAACCCAGCAGCCGACCGAAATCGGCCTGGAAGCAGCAAACGGACACCCACGAAGCCAGAAGGGGGAACCTGGGAACCTGGGAACGTGGCCGCCTACCGAAATCGGCCCTGTACTTTCGCCAACTCTTTCAATCTCCGCTAGGACCCCTTCAGTACAAGCACTGAATGGGGAATGAAGCCTACGCTGCAGCGGGAACACCATTATGGAAGGACCGAAAGCGTTCTGGCTGAACAAGCACATGAAGAGAAATCATCCCGGACCAATCCATTTTGAAAAACAATGCGCGGATGGGGGCGCGCCAATCTCAAGACGTTTTCGGGGGAGAGAGGAAAGTAGTATTCAGATTGAGCATTTGTGAACAAGGGAGGAGGAGGAGGAGGAGGAGGAGGAGGAGGAGCAGGAGGAGGAGGAGGAGGAAGAGCAGGGCGAGGGGTGAAGGGAGGCGGACGAGGACGAAACACCGGAGCTGAAAGTGGGGGCAACGAGGCAACCTTTTGGGACCCTCCTACGCAGCGGCGAACGCTGGCACTTCAAATCGGCCGCGCGACCCATGCGGGCACCGAGGATGGGGAAACCTCCGCGAAGCCGCCCGGAGCCGAGAGCCGTGAACGACCACGAGCCCCGGCAAGCAAGGTCAGGCTCCCGCGGAAGCCAGGGGTGCCGACGGCGGGGAACTGGCGCAGGGAGGGACCCGTCGACCCCGCATCGCCCATTCCTCACCGATGGGGCCTCGAGTGACCTGACCTGCCCAGGAACGTGAGGCTCCCCCTATCAGGGGCCTGTCACCGATCTGGCGGCGATGTATCGTCGATTCCAGGTCATTGTTTCCCCCAGTTCCACCCCCTGAGCCAATCCACCCCCTGTCGGCTTCCCTCAGGCAATCACTACAACAGAAAAACACTGCGCACAAAAATGTATCGTGGCCACGCCGAGACTCGGTTCCATGTGCCACTCTCGGTGCGTCAGGTCCTAAGGATGGAGCCCGGACCTCCGACATCAGATGCTTCAGCCCGCGGGCCCTGGAGATACCGATCCCTTCTCAAGGGGCACGTGTTCGTTTTCGCCCACATCGTTGTTTGCTGGTCCCAGGGTCCGAAAGCGGCACTGGGCCGGCAACCAGACAACAAATAACAACACACCAAATGGAGACTGGCCAGCGCTCACTCCAATCAGTGAGTTATTGCACTGTGTAGGTGGACACTATGCGGTGTAAGCTGTGGTTCAAGGCTTTATCGTTCAAGCTATGTGGTGTGAACCATGGAGGTTTGAAGCTATGCTGTGTAAGCTACGTGGTGTAAGCTATGCCGTGCAGGCTATGCGGCGTGAATTGGAGGTGGGGGCAATGCGGTGTAAGCTATAAAGTGTAAGCTGTGGCGCAGGCCATGCGGTTTAAGCTATGTGGGGTAAGCAGTGTGGAGTAAGCAGTGTGTTATTAGCTATGCGCTGAGTGTGATCTACGTGGTGCAAGCACAGAGCACTGGGCGCCCCTGAGGGCCCAGGAGACGGCACGGGCAGCAGCGTGGCGAGTCCTCGAGAAACGCGCCCAGAGCACGAGGCGCCCACGAGGTGCCCACGAGGAGGCAACGTGGTGACGACATGGTGAACCCGCACGGGTAGCAACGTGGCGAGTCCTCGAGAAACGCGCCCAGAACACCAGGCGCCCACGAGGAGGTGACGACATGGTGAACCCATACAGTTTCCTCGAGAAGTCTAAGTCAGAGCCCCTAAGTGCAAGCGAGGTTTGGGGAGCCAAACCAGCGTCGCGACTGAACAGGTCACAACGCCGAAGGTCTGGCAAGCACACAGTCGACGCACGGCCGCAAGAACGTGCTCAAGAGCGCGGGCCCCTTCGCCGAAGGCTTCGTAGAGAGATCACCGCGCGGTGGAGAGACCAACACACGAAGACCGCTCCGAGGTGGAGAGCCCACCAGTCAAAGAACGCAGGGATACCCCTCAAGAGCTGAAGCTGTTCCTGACCTTTGTGCCAACTGCTGATGGGCCTCTTTTCCACAACCATCACCATAGGTTGGAGGGGGAGGGGGTCCTCGTCCTCCTCCTCCTCCTCCACCTCCTCTTGCTCCTCCTCCTCCTCCTCCTCGTCCTCTTCCACCCCTCCAGCTCATGGTGGTGGTGGAAAACAGGTCCATCAAGCTGCCGTCGTCTAGAGATCCGCCGAAACCGTTGGCCCGCGACGGTGCGCAGGAAGACCCAACCAATGGGGCGCAGAAAGACCCACACCTGATTGCTGCTGTGCGCCCCCCCTGCAGGTGCACATCCAGCCAGAACTTAGAACAGAACCATCGGTTTGAAATGTATTGTTGTGTTTGTTTGCTGGTTGTGTCACATGTTGTTTCGTTTTTTTCGCGCTTTCCCCAAAAAGCATCCTGTGGTGTTGGGTGCTCGTTTTGAAGAGACAGCGCCCCACGTTTCTTCCTTCCTTCCTTCCGTCCTTCCTTCCCGCTGCCCCCTCCATCCTCCCCCTCCTCCTTCCTCCCAACCGCCTCGTCATCGTCATCGTCATCGTCATCATCGTCATCATCGTCGCCATCGTCATGATCCACATCATCATGCTCATCACCATCGCCATCGTCAGCGCCGCACCTCTCACACGGTTCGTAGCACCAAAGGGAGCTTTACCGAAAGCCAACGTGGCAGCGGTTGCATGCGTCACCGCCGCCCCATGTTGGCACATCCCTCACACGGTCCGTGGCCCCTTAGAGAGCTCCACCGAAGGCCTCAGCGGGAGCGTCCGCATGGCACCGCCGCCCCATTTCGGAACACCCTTCACACGGTTCGTGGCCCCATAGGGAGCTCCACCGAAAGCCCCAGCGGGAGCGCCCGCATGGCACCGCCGCCCCATTTTGGCACACCCCTCACACCGTTCGTGGCCCCATAGGGAGCCCCACCGAAGGCCCCAATGGGAACGTCCGCATGGCACCGCCGCCCCATTCCGGCACAGCCTTCACACGTTTCGCGGCCCCCAAAAGGAAGCTCCACCGAAGGCGCCAGTGGGAGCGTCCGCATGGCAACGCTGCCCCACTTCGGCACACCTCTCACACGGTTCGTGGCCCCAGAGGGAGCTCCACCGAAGGCCCCAGCGGGAGCGTCCGCATGGCACGGGCCACGGGGCTCGGGCGAAACCAAGAAGACTCCCCGCTCGCCCGCGTCTTTTTTCCCCCTCATGCACGCCGCAATCCTTTTTGCTGCCCCCTCCTTCGTCGCCGCTCCCTCGCGGTACTCGCAGCAGCATACGGTGGGGTCCTTCGTCAGGCTATGTAATGTTTGTTATTATGTATCATGTTTGGGTGTTTTCTGTGTAACTAAATATATTGTCCCATACATGTTACCCAAACGGTATAGCCAGACCACGCCGACTGCGGCGCTTACACTGCGACACTGGCTTTGCAGTGTATGCGTCGCTCGTGTGGAAACGGCGCGCACACAAATAATGCAAGCATGTCTTGGCTCGACGGGCACAAACCGCTATCGACGATCGCACCGAGGACAACAAGCGCCGAGGCCGACGAGCGACGACGGTGATGGCGACCTGACAGCCAGCTCGCGTCGCACAGCGGAGACCCCCGCTCGCAGGCAGCTGGGGGTCAGACATCGGGCCCCGCACATCCGACGATCCGACGATGTAGGATCAGTCAGTATCGAATCGGGGAAGGGGGTCAACTTGGATGTGTGTTGGATCGGGCTGCATCTGCACGGGGTCGGAATCTCTAGGCGGATTGGCCTCGCCAGGATTTACAACGGCGCCATGCAACCATCGGGCTGCATCGGATCTTGGGGACATCGGAACCGAATCGGATTGGCCCGGCCGAGATCGGCATCGGATCGGACCTGGGGAAAACAAACAATACCGATATCGGCAGGGTCAGGGTCCAAAAACACAGGGGATTTGCAACATTTCTGAAATTCGGCGGCACCCCTCACGCAGATCGGCGGGATCAAGGTTCAAAAACAAAGGGGATTTGCAACATTTCTGAAATCCGGTGGCACCCCTCACGCAGATCGGCACGGTCAGGGTCTAAAAAACAATGGGATTTGCCACATGTCTGAAATTCGGTGGCAGCACTCACGCAGATCGGCAGGATCAGGGTCCAAAAACACAGGGGATCACAATATTTCTGACATTCGGCGGAACCCCTCACGCAGATCCGTAGGGTCAGGGTCGAAAAACAAACAGGTCCCGACACTGCTTCACGGCGAAGCCAAAGCCTCATGACTTCGCTCTTCCATGGCCCATTCTCCGAGGGAGGGGGCTGGCGGCAGGGGGCGAAGCCCTTACTGATAAAGCAAGATATGTTCCAAGCGTTTGTTTTGGGAGCTGGCCTGAGCGGTGCGACAGCGCTTGTAATGGAAGAGCGCCTCTTGGAATCACTCGACAGCACGATGGCGCTACTTGTGAAAATAATGGCAGGAGGCAGGATGAGCTAAGTAGAAGCGGTTGGTACGACCACGTGCCATGCCGACAAAGAGGTTCAGAGGTTTTCAGAAGATGGAGGATACCGCGCTGCTCGACAGCGCTGAGGAGACGCAGGCTACGGTGGCACAAGCAATGGGCAAAACATCCCGAGGATTGTGGAAGTGCGCTGGCGGCGGTTTTTGGCGCGACGGAGCTGGGCAGCCGATGCCGGATCAGGAGATTGGAAAACGGGCGGGTTTGCGAGGCATCTGCACCTTGAGCCAAGCGGTGGCCAGGGACTTCCCAGGCGCTGGCGGATGTCAGCGCGGACGTTTGGAGCTGGTATTCGAAGAGGAAGTCAGACATCTCAATGTTCAAGAGAGGCACGAGGGATTGGGAAGCTTGGATTGGGACGGACCCTGGTATCCTACGCCACGCTGGAGAGGCATGGGGCGCAAAGCTACCAGAAATTACGGTGGGGGGAGAGGTGGTGGTGGCTCAGAGTTGGTGCGACTGGGAAACTGAGACAAAGGGGCAGGTGCGCGGAGCGCAGTTTACTACGGCGGCGGCGCTGGCAGGGCACAGGCGAGTGGCGCGCAACTGTCTTTCTCTGGTCCCCAGCCTGGCGGCCACGCATCAATGTCCTTGGTGCGTGACCTCGTTAGATTTTTATACAGAAAACGGCCGGCCATGTAATGGGAGCATCGGAGAGTCACGGAATATGCTACAAAAACACAAGCTGCTGGGTTCACCCAGTCCGTGAGCCCCCTTCCCTCGCCTGCACCCTCCGTGGCTTTCAGGCTCAATCTTTGGAAGGTGTTCAGGTGCACGTGCGCTGCCAACAACCTGGGCCGCACTGCGCGAAAGATGGCGATGGCGCCGCGGAGACTACCACGACCCAAACGAGGAAAAAACGCGGAGATGGAAAGCGATCCGAAGCACCTCAAGGGCGGCAAGGGAAAATGACCGGACGGGTGGCAGGCAGGAGGGGCCAGCGCCAAGGCGGCGGGCAGCCCGCCAGCGGCCGCGGCCGCGGCGATGGGAGGGAACGGCAAAGGCGGAGGAGGAGGGCGCAGACCACCCCCCTGTATCAACGGACTTCAAAGATTAGCCCTCTGTTTGGCAGCAGAAATCAGAAATGTTAACCACATGACCTCGGATTTCTTCCTCATGCCAGTCAGCAATTGGGCGTTTCGGAAGTCGATGGAAGCGTGGCAGAACTACTGGAACCAGGTCAAGGAGAAGGACAAGGGGCACAAGTTGGGGCCGCCAGGTATACGCGCGGATGGCTCGCATGGAAGGCACCCAGGAGCTGGTGTCGGATCGGTAGAGGAAAGACAAAACGACTGTACCAGTATCAATAGATCGAGCAATGGACACCCTGAACGATTTCCTGAAGCTGATAGAGGACAACAGCGAGCACAGCCAGGCGATGATCACAGATGCGATCAAGATGCGCAAGGCCAGAGATGAGCAAAGCGCGCAACTGCAAGAACAGGAACCCGAACGAGGACGAGCACAAATTTTGGGAGGAGGGTTTGGGCAAGATCCAGATCGGCATTAACGAGTCTCTCGACTTCAGGGCGGTGCTCCCGAAGAAGGCGAGGAAAAACGCCATGGCGAAGCTGGGCCAGTTCTCAGGCCAGAACCTGAGGATGGCGATGGGGGTGCTGATCGTCTACACGGGAAACAAGAAGTCTTAGTCGGCGTCGCCCAAGTCGGAGCCGGAGGGGATGGCGGAGCGGGAACTTCAGCGTCGGCGCCGCTAAGGGGAAAGTGATGGCATTAGCGAGGTTTTCTCGGAGTGCTGCACCGTCAGAACGGGTTGTTTGCATTAGCGAGGTCGTCTCGGAGTGCAAAAACCCCGGGGCAGAGTGCCAGGCCGCGGCTGACGCGGACAAGCACGTGCACCGCGCCACCGAGGGCGTCAACATCATGCAATGAGGGCGCCGCCTCAGGCCCCCCCCTGGGGCAGTCGGGCATTGCTGGCGCGCCCACGGGCGCGCAGACGAAGAGGAAGAGATACCTTTCAGATGATGAGAGACTCGCAGAACCGACCAGCATGGATGTAGAGCGCCTCACCAAACTCAGGCGTTTTGCCCCGAATGGTAGGATATACGACTTGGCCCTGAAGTTCCGAGCAGAACGGGATGCTGAGCTACAGAGACATGCCCCGGGGAAATGCCTGCCTGGTAACAACCAGCCTACACGTCCTAGTAAATGGCGTCATCTACAATGACGGCACGATGCGTTTCCCCATCCCTTTTTTCCATTACAGATGCGGAGAGATGGTGGTCGGGGTAATTTGCATGCAGCGCAGCATGCGCACCATGTAGACAGGCCGCGGTCGCTGGGGGGAGATGGGCACATCGTACGAGGCACTACGAGTCTAACAGGGCAGTCGGGAATTAGCCACTATCTCAATGGGGGGAGGTGGGACCAGCATATACGAGGTACTACGCGTATCACAAGGAAGTTGGGAATGCACTACTATCTCCATCGCCCATGCTCGGACGCCACAGCTGACCTGGCTCAGCGCTGGCCTGGGTGCGCAGTGTGGCGCACTAGCGGGGTTTCTCAGAGTGCGTCGAGCGAGTGGGCCATGGCCTTCACGACCAGCGGCCAGCCATGGCCCTGCGGGCGCTGCAACAAGGGGTCCCAGTGCTGCAAGATGATCAAGAGCCGCAGAGAGCGCGCGAGGAACGAGCCAGGTTACGAAAAGGATCAAGGCGGCAAAGGCAGCGAATGGAACATAGTGCGCATCGATTGCGAGCTGGAGCTGAGGGGGGAGGAATGGGCAGACTGGAGCGATTAAGAGAGGGCGCTGCACGGGAGGGGAAAAGTATTTCGAAAGAGCAGGTCTGCCGAGAACGGAAAAGGGAGGCAAGAAGAGCTGCGTGGGCCGCCCAGGCACTAGGACAGATCAAAGCTGCCCAAGTACAGCTGGCAGAAGAATGAGGCCAACATAAAAAAATCTCGCGCGCAGAAAAACAGTATCGCCTTCGAGACATCAAAGGATATGACACAGGTGCTGCTGAAGGGCATCGAATTGAATGGAGATATATTGGCAGCCTTCAGCAGAGCAAACTAGAGAATGGCAGGTGCCCTTCGCAACGCAGAAGAATATGGCACCCTACTCCACAAGCACATGCCCTTGCACGTCAATGACGTAGATGCGCTGAAGGCGGCAAAACAAGATTGGAGGAGAAAGAGAAAGAGCTGCACGAGATGGGCGACTACAAGATGGCGAAGGTCAAGGGTGAGAAGCAGCCAGAGGTCCTCAAGGCGCTGGATTTCGTGGAGAAGTGGAGCGACAACATGCAGCTGTTCAAAACATGCAGGAGGGGCACTGGATGGGACGGAAAGAAAGGAGGAGTCTGCCCGCGTGGGCTCGCCTTCCCGAACAAGCTGTGGTGGAGAGGTCCCAGTCCCAACTCGAGAAGTGACAAGTGGCACTTCTGGTGCAAGGTGGACTGGTTGCAGCTCGTGCAAGCGCGGGGTAATCACCCAGAGGACGTGATCTTGACGGAATGTGTGGACAAGATGAAGCAGAAAACGTTTGGAGCAGACAGCGAGAAATGGCCAAAGGCCGGGCGCGGGTCCCAGTTCCTCCTGTTCAAGAGTGGGCCATCGATGGTGGTGGAGCCCAAGGTGGGAGACACTTGGCAAGCGCTTATTGCGGAAAGGCCTTCGCAGCAACTGGACGACGCCATCATGGAGTGCCACTGCCAGTTCTTCGACGCGGCCCAGCAGATGAGCCCCAAAAGTTATTCGAGCTGGTCCCAGCATCCTTCCCGATGACGCACAACATCGAAGACTGCGACCTCGTCGCAAGGTGCCCAATGGGCCAATGGGAGAACTCAGGGAGGAGGGCCTTCACTGTGCAGACCTGGTGCGAGCTGGCGCTGAAGATTGCGGAAAACGATAACAAGAACCTCCACGAAGTAATGAAGGCTGCCATTAAGGAGCTGAACAACGAGGACAACATGGGCCCAGAGGAAGTGAAGAGGCTGAAGGACCGCCAGAACCTACGGGACAGCACCCAGACCATGCTGGATGGCACCGAGGTCTTCGCGGAAAAGTCCGGCTACCCCAAGTCAGAAGTGACGACTGCGGCCAGCTCACCCAGCGGCCACGAGCCTGCTGATTCGCCAAGAGGAAACATTAGCGAGGTTTTTCGAAATGCTACTCCAGGCAAGCTGCGAGCTGGCCGTGCCCGCAAACAGTCAGGAGGAGCATCAGCGAGGTTTCTCGGAGTGCAACTCATGACAGCCAGCGTGGGCCGTGGGCACAACAGAACGCCTGCATCACCATGAGCCTGCTTGGAGTACCGTCAGGTACACTACTGCAGGGTGCAGAAGGAAACAAGAGTGATCATCAGGAAGCCCACCAATGTGGCCCTCATTGGCCCTACCTTTACGGTGACTCACAGTATGCTCTACCTCACATACACTTCAAGGGGGAACGATGGGTTACTTCAACAGAATACCAGAGTACAGATGTGACAATGCACGGGACATCTTTCGGAACGAACGAGATGTGAGCCGAGCGGGAAATTGAAGCACTCAGTTCAAAGTGTAGGATAACCAGCTCCCACAGCAACAGTTTGGGAACTCGGGCTTTCCATCTGTCCCCCGTCTCCTCATTTTGAGGTCGTGTCGGCATCTCCTCTTCCCCTGGCTTGGGCGCCCTGCTAAGCCCGCGCGTCCCTCCCCTAGAGCACGCGGAAGGGCCAGCAGCCGCTCCCCACGCACTGACCCGCAGGGACTCGTGATGTAAGGTGGCGAGCCTCTCTTACGGGGCCACCTCGGAGCTCTGTCCTTGAGCTACGTGGCATGCCCCCTGCCGGCCCTAGTGGGAAGGCAGGGCTGTAGCACAACAAATACATAGCAGGGGATTTTGACTGTGGAGCGTAGGTCACCTGAATATATGTGTTCAAGCGTTGTACCCCCTTTATACGGGTGTCCTTGTCCTCCTCCTCCTCCTCCTCCTCCTCCTCCTCCTCCTCCTCCTCCTCTCCGTCCTCCTCCTCCTCCTCCTCCTCCTCCCCCCTCCAACTTATGGTGGTGGTGGTGGTGGAAGACAGGCCCATCACCTCGAGCCTTGGCTTCGCAGCGCCGGTCTACAAACCCGGCGGCATCGGGCCTCGAGGCCGCGCTGCAGGAAGCCTATTCCAGGTCTTCCTGATAACCTCGCCCGCCCTCCCACGAAACACCCGCACCCCCCCCTTATTCTCCTCCTCCTGCTCCTCCTCCTCCTCCTCTTCTCCTTCGCTCCTCGTGTTGGGACCCCCGCCCTCCTTCTCCGAATCCTCCTCCCTATGACCAGTGTGCCACTGCGGGAGGGGAAGCAAGCCCCCGCTGTCAAATGATGAACGACTCGCCGCTGTTGCCAACGACGCATTGTCCGCCGGTCCAGACGCACTTGTGCTTGGCGCCATATCTCGCGCAGGACTTCTCGGTCTGGTACGACTTATGAGACCCGGAGCAGCAAGTTTCTCCTTTGCGCATCGTCTTCCCCCTGATCCTCCTGCTCCTTCTTTTCGTCTGGAGGGCAGGAGAACCACAGGTCGTACACATTCCCCTACAAGCGCTGTCCTTCAGCAGACGTGCCCGCGCAAGGAACTCGAACAAGGCAGGACCGATCAGTAAACGCCCAGGGGTCAGAAGTATACGCTTGTGATCTGAGTCGGGGTGCTCTTCTAGAGGAACAGAAATTGCATAATTCCACACGTTTGACAGTCAGCACGGATTTGTTTCGTCTGCGCTTGACCCGTCCCTGGCGCGCTCTGCAAGCTAAGGACGGGGTTGGGTGCAACGCAGATCCAGACAATCCGCGCGGATCGTTCAAAAATGCACGTTTACCCTTTTATGCTGTTTTATGCTGTTTTGTTTTCCTCTGTTTTCTCCTCGCTTGATTACTCACGACGTGGACACTTTGAACTCCTCGACCTCTTCCCCGGGGCTGGTCTTCCGTCGAGAGCCGTTTTGTTGATAGCCCCCCCAGGTGCTGTCGCCGAGGGGTACACACATATCTATGTACACATAAACATAAGCAGATGCATAACAATTACATACATGTGTATATATGTGTATATATGTGTGTATATATAGATATATCGATACTAGAACAATCGCGCGCGCTTCGCGCGCGCACGCTCAGGTTCTCTGGGGTCCCAGCGCGCAGTGAGATGCCGAGGGCTTGGCGACGTCTGCGGATATGACTGTAGCCCGAATGCGCTGCGGAAACGCGTAGTGGAGAACCCTTCCCTGAGAACGGGGGACTCGAGGAGGACGACGAAGAGAACGAGGGTAGCGGTTTGGAGGTCGAGAGAAGGGGGAAGAGTCCCCGAGCATGACGGCGGTGAAGACGAGGGCAGAACGGGAACGAGGGGCAGGAGCAGAACGAGAAGTGGAATCCTTGAAGACGAACAACAGGAGGAAAGCAAAGAGGAGGGGCAGCCGTGCCCCTCGTCCACGTGTGCCCCTCCTGGCGGCCTTCGGCACATCCTGCCACCGAGCCTGGGCTGCTGGTGTGGGACATCGTGAGTGCCTGTTCGCGTCCCTGGGGGAAACTTAGGGCAACCTGTTGGAATCAAAGGTGATGCCTCTTGGGGCGCTTTCTGGGGCCTCTTCGGAGCCTCTTGTGGCCCTCTTGGGTCCTCTCGGGGGGGGGGGGGCGTCCTTCGGGCCTGCTGGCGATCTTCGGGGTCCTCTTGGGGCCGAGGCTTCGAAATATGGGTTCGCATTTCCCTCCCACGAGCCCCTCTTGGGGCCCTGTTGGCCGGTCCCGGGTGCCTCTTGGGCCGTCTTGGGGGCCTCTTAGGCAGTCTTAGGGCCCTCTGGGGCACCTCTTCGGCCTTTGGGGGCTCTCTTAAGGGCCTCTAGGCCCGTCTTGGACGCGGGACATGAAAACAACGACTGCAATAGAAATGCACGCTTCCCCAAGGCGATTCTGCCTCTTCGGGTTCTCTTGAAGGTCCTCTTGGAGCCGTCTTGGGGCATCCTCGGGGCCTGCTGGCGATCGTCGGGGTCCTCTTAGGGCTCGAAATGTGGGTTCGAATTTCCCCCGCGGGTCCCCTGTTGGTGCTCTCTTCGGCCGCCCTGGGCGGTCCTGGGTGCCTCTTGGGCCGTCTGTTATGTCCACGCCCCCCACGACGCAGGTGTCCATGGTTGACGCGCGAAGACCAAACCATCAGTCCTGGACACTGTACACGGCTAGCCCCCATGGTTCCCTGCCGCTAAGAAATCGGAGGTGAGGGGGTGAGATCGAAGTGGAACGGAGAGCCCCCCTACCGGGAAATCGATTTCGGTTTCGTGTTCGTGCGTGCCGTGCTGCGGGCGGGCGAGGCGAAGCTGCGTGGGCGGGCGAGAAAAAGGCTCCTGTGGCTGAGGCGCGGCCGGACCAAATGATTCCCTTCCGGGCGGCCGGTGGCCCGCGGTGTCCCGCCGGTGTCCCGCGAAAGTCCCGTGTGGCTGAGGCGCGGCCGGACCAAATGACTCCCTTCTGGGCGGCCGGTGGCCCGCGGTGTCCGGCCGGTGTCCTACGGTGTCCCGCGGTGTCCCGCGGTGCCCCGCGGTGTCCCGCCGGTGTCCCGCGGTGTCCCGCGATGATGATGATGATGATGATGATGATGATGATGATGATGATGATGATGAAGATGATGATGATGATGATGCTGATGATGATAATGATGGTGATGCTGATGTGCTGCTGCTGATGATGATGATGACGATGATGATGATGATGATATGAGGATGATGGTGTCCCGATGATGATGATGATGATGATGATGAAGATGATGATGATGATGAGATGATGATGCTGATGCTGATGATAATGATGGTGATGATGATGATGATGATGATGATGATGAAGATGATGATGATGATGATGATGCTGATGATGATGATGGTGATGCTGATGATGATGATGATGATGATGATGATGATGATGCGATGATGATGATGCTGATGGTGTCCCGATGATGAGGATGATGATGATCATGATGATTATGTTGATGATCATGATGATGACGATGATGGTGTCCCGATGATGATGAGTATGATGATGTTGATGTTGATGATGCTGATTATGATTGTGTCCCGATGATGATGATGTTGATGATGATGAGGTTGATGATGATTATGGCGTCCCGATGATGATTATTATGATGGTGATGATGATGTTGATGATGATGGCGTGACGATGGTGATGATGATGATGATGATGATGTGATGATGATGATGATGATGATGTTGATGCTGATGTTGGTAATGATGATGATGGTGCCCAGATGATGACGATGATGATGATGCTGATGATGATGTTGATGATGCTGATGATGATGATGTCGATGATGAGGATGAGATGATGATGATGATGATGATGGTGTCCCGATGATGATGATGATGATGATGATGATGATGATGATGATGATGATAACGATGGTGATCATGATGGTGCCGCGATGATGCGATGACTGTGTCCCGATGTTGCTGATGATGATGCTGATGATGATGATTGTGATGATGGTGATGATGATGATGGTGGTGTCCCGATGATGTTGATGACCGTGATGATGATGATGATGATGATGATGTTGGATGTTGATGATGAGGACGGTGTCCCGATTATGATGATGTTGGTGATGATGATGTTGATGTTGATGTTGTTGTTGATGATGATGATGATGATGATGATGACGTTGATTGTGAGAGCGGTTGTGATATCGATAGTGAGATCGATAGTGAGACCGAATGTGATATCGATTGTGAGATCGATTGTGAGATTGTGAGATCGATAGTCAGATCAATTGTGAGATAGATCGAGTGAGATCGATTGTGAGATCGATCGAGGGAGATCGATCGAGCGAGACCGATACTGAGATCGATAGTGAGATCGATAGTGAGACCGATCAAGTGAGACGTTGGTTCCTCCCCCCCCGAACCTCCTTATCACCCGAAGGGTGGTCGTATAGGTAAATATAGAGAGACTAAAACCAAGCATATCATCGAAATCGGCATCGTTGAAGTTTACAACGGAATGAAGGGCCAACCCATCTCTTGTTGTGAATGTGTACTGCATGGGTCCCTCTTGGCCCGTCATGGGGAGCTGAGCCCGTCTTGGGGCCCTCTTGGGGCCCCCTCCGACCATGTAGGGATCCTCTGGTGGGCCCCCTCGGGCCCCCTGGTGACTTTCTTGGGGCCGTCTTGGGGCACCCGTGTACTGCTTGAAGCTCTCTTCGAGTCGTCTTGAGGCCCTCTTGGGGGCTTCTTGGGCCGCCTGGGGCCGATTTTCGGGAGTCTTTGGGGCCGTCGCGGCCGCTGTTAGGAGTGAAAAAGCTACCATCCCAGAAATATACGCTTTTCCATTGGAAATGCTTGATGTTTGCCCTTGGGGGACCTTCTCGGCGGCCTCTTGGACCGTCTTGAGGGCCGTTGTGGCCGTCTAGGAGCAATCTTGGGCTGTCTTTGAGCTCTCGCGGGCCGTCTTGAGGCCATCTCAGTGCACTGTTCAGCCATCTTCCAGACCACCTGGGGCACTTTGGGAGCCTCTTGGGCCAGCCTAGGGGCCTCTGGGGGGGTCCGGGGCCCCTTCTGGGCCCTCGTGGAGTCCTCAAGGCCCCCCCGGACCGCCATGCAAACCAGTGGTCGTGGTTCTGGGCCCACGATTTTGGGCCCACGATTTTCTGGGAGCTGAGAGGGGGCCGTAATTGTGGTCTGTTGTGCAAGAGTAGACAGGGGGGGCGAACTTGAAAAACATAATTTTTGGATTTCCTTTTTTTTCTAGTTGCCGTGCCAGGCGCACAAGAGGCACCGAAGAGGCCCCCAGAAAGGCCTTGGAAGCCCCCAAGATGCCCGCCAGAACCCTCCAAGAGGCCCCCGAGACCATCGACAACCCAGGCACGGTAGCGGGATGGGGTGGAGGCCCTTGCATCCGCCGCTCCCTGGTGATTCATCACAGGGGTGCACGACGTGCTAAATTTCTGAAAAGTGTTTTCTTTTCCAGAGAACTTCCAATGGGGTCTCGGCCCAACCCGCCGGCCATCCGGAAAGCCCAGGAAACTTAATTCTCCATTGGTCCCATCGCGTCCAAGACGGCCAAGACGGTCCAAGATAAGATGGCCTCCAAGTTCACCCAAGATGGTCCAAGATGGCCCCCAATACAGCCCAATGGGATGATCAAGGAACATGTCGAGGAAGAGGATAGTTAGAGAGTAGGGGTCCCAACTTGAAAAAAAAACATCTCTGACATTATATATTTTGTAATCAAATTCTTCAATCTCTGAGCGTTGGAAACGGGAATAAATGAGAAAAACGAAAAAGGTAAAAACCAAAAAACGGAAATCAATGTTTTTACCGTCTCCGGGCTCTCTCGGGACGGCTCTCGAAGCTCTCTTGGGCTGTGTTTGGGGCCTCGTCGGGGCTTTTTGGGGGCTTTTCAAGAGTCTTGGGTGTGTTGGGGGGCCTCTGGGAATTTCCGGAGGCCCCTGGGAGGTCTCTGAAGGAATCCTGCTCCCGCTCTTAGGCCTATCTTGGGTATGCTCTGAAAGGTCTGGGGCTGTCCTGGGCGCCTCTTCGGCAGTCTTAGGCCTTGGCCCGTCTTGGGACCGTCTTGGGGGCCTCTTGGGGCCGTCTTGGGAGCCTCTTGAGCGGTCTTGGGGCGGTCTTGGGGGCCTCTTCGGCCGCGTTGGAGCGTTGGAAGCATGATATGGTGAGAATGCCACAACTTTTGAAACAAAACATGAAAATGAACGATGTTTGGCTCTCCGGGCGCTCTCGGGAGGCCTCTAGGAGCTCTTTTGAGGTCTCTTGGGGGCCTCCTGGGAGCCTAGAGAGCCGACCGAAGGCTATCTTGGGATGCTTGGGAGCGTCTTTGGCCGTTCTTTTATGTTCTGGGGGCTTCTTGGGGTCGTCTTGGGTTGTCCGTGGGCGTTTTGGGAGCTCCCCAGGAGGCCAGGAAGCGCGGTACTGGGAGCGTAAGGCAGATGTCACGGGGAGGTGTATTTGTCTATCTATATATGTACAAGCCGCCGTGATCTGCTAGGCGACCGGTATACAGACAGGCTGCTGAATGAAGGAACGATATATATATATATATATATATATATATATATATAAGGAGCGACGTCCTTTCTTGGCACCAACCGCGCCTGGGTGCACGAAGAGAGCTAGAGGAACAGCCACGGAACGACCTAAGGAACAGCGAGCCCCTTCCAAATCCAAAGCGGTCCTTATTTCAGCGTCTTGACTGTAGGTATTTGGCCCTCCGCTGCCGAACACGAAACCCCGATCTTGAGGCGCGTTCTCACCAGGGGACCCCGCGCCTAACCACCGTGCCTGGGTCGCGAAAGAAGGGTCTCTGGGAGGCTTCTTCGACTTTGTTTGGAGGTCTCTGGGACGCATGGGGTCCCTTGGGGGACTCTTGAGGCCTCTGGGAACCTCTTATGTCGGGGATCTTCTGACCTGGGTCAATCCAGACCCGGGTCAGTCAGGCCTTGCCGAATCCTGCAAAATCCTGCAAGACCCTGCACCCAAACCCAGGTCAATGCGAAGGATCCTGCAAGATCCTGCAGGATCCTGCAAGATCCTGCACCCAAACCTGGGTCAGTGCGGCCCTGGCCCTGCAGGATCCTGCAGGATCGGGCGCTCTGGCTGACCCCCGTTTGCATTGACCCCCGTCTCCCGAGCCCCGATTGTGAGCGTCCTGCAGGCCTCCGGGAGAGCCTTGGGGGCGTTGGGACTCTTGGGCGCTTGGGCATGGTTCTGAAGCCTATTTTGAGTATCGTTTCTCCGATCCCCATCCTCAGCGGCGTGGCCTGGGCCCCACTGGCCGACTTGCCCCCCTGGCTGAGGATATAGGCCGTTCCCTTCGGGTTTCGTGGGGTGTATCCCCAACTGGGGGGGTTAATTCGTGGGGGTCTCGAAGGGGATGGGGATGGGGATGGGGGTCAGATAAACGATACTGATATTTGGCTGTAATCAGGCTTTCCGGGGCCCTATTGGGCCTTCTTGAAGCCCCCTCGAGCAGTCTCGGGCCCCCTCGGGCGCCTTTTGGGCCGTCGTGGACGCTGTGGGAATCCGAGAAGCGAGCGTGCTAACAAACAAGACGATTTCCCACAGAAGCTTGGTGATTTTGACCTCCTGGTGGCCCTCTTGAGGAGCCTCTTGGAACCTTCTGGAGGCGACTTGAAAGTTTCTTGGCCCGACTTGGGGCCATCTTGGGGCGTCTTGGAGCGCTCTTGGGGCCCTCTCGGGGCGTCTTGGAGGCCTCGTGGACAGTCCGGCGGCCATCTTGGATGCTCTTGGAGAATCTGCAACTGTCTGGGACCCACCGGAGCCGCCAGAGGAGGCTCCCGGGAGGGGGCCACTGCGCAACAGCAAGGGGGTCCGTCCACACATATGCGCACACATATAGTATAGGTGGGGCGATTTCGAACACAGTTTTATGCCGCTGGGAAGGATCGTGGTAAATGCGATCGGATCTTCTCAGTGACGACGGCGACGACGTCCGCGAGCAGGCCTGGAACCAAATTTACTTATGTTTGAGTCGTACCCAGGGCGCTGTTGCGTGACGGGCCCTCTTGGGCAGTTCTGGATCGCCACGTTGCAACATGGGTGGTGGTGGACACCCAGCGGACGTGGAGCCCCCAAAACTTGCGCGAGCTCAGACCACACGATGTTGTTTCAAACCGCCAGCAAGCCCCCGCCCCATCTTTCACCAGGACTGGTTTTCAACAACGAGTCTTTCATGTTCGGCCACGTGGACGGGAAACGGCAGGCGACGCTATCAGGGGGGGGGCATCGACCTTTAAGTCGGGCATGTCCCCCTACAGGGGGATTTGGGACGAAAAATAAGAAATACCCAACAAATATACCAAAAAGGTCATGCATAGTCAAACAATCGTCCCCTGACTTTTAAAAACAACTGTTTTTGAATCTTCCTCCTGTAGAGGGACATGCCCGACTTCAATCGACATGGCATCGGCGATGCCTCGCCGAGGGATCCTCTGGCAAGGCCTCGACAGCGGACCCCCACGCCCCTGGGCGGGGGCAGGGCCCAGGCCCCGAGTGGGCACGGAACGGGCGACTGGGGCTCGACGCTCGACGCTCCTTGCCCCCCCCCTGGGCCAGTCCCCCCCCCTCCTCCTCCCCTCCTCCTCCTCCTCCTCCTCCCCCTCCTCCCCCTCCTCCTCCTCCTCCTCCTCCTCCTCCTCCTCCTCCTCCTCCTCGACGCCGCCCCTGATGAGCATCCTCTATCCGATCCCAGGGACCGACCACAGCGATGTTTAAAACGAAATTGTTGTTTACAACGAACAGCGAAACGAACGCTTTAAACGAAGCCGGTGCCAAACGAAAACGAACGACGAAACGGGGCGTTCAAAGCAACAACGAGAAACGAAACGAAACAATAACGAACCACAAAACGAATAACAAAACAAGGGCCTAGACCAATCTAAACATCGTTGTGGTCGGTCCTTGTCCGATCCCTATCCCCAGCGGCGCGGCCTGGGCCCCGCTGGCCGATTTGCCCCCCTGAATGGGGATATGTGTCGTTCCCTTCGGGTTTCGAGGGGTGTATCCCCAACTGGGGTGGTAGTTTGGTTGGGGTCTCGAAGGGGATGGGGATGGGGATGGGAATCGGTTAAACGATACCGACCTGACCGGGAGGCCGGCAACTGGCGAGAACCCACAGGCGCAGTGTTTTGCTTGAGGCATCCTGCGCTGCAGGCCCCGGCGGCGTCGTGGTAGAGGCAGCAAGACTTCGCAGGCGACGGCGGCCCCGGAGGAGCCTGGAGAACGACGGCGAAGACAAAGACGATGACGAGGACCACGAACGACGGCGAGGACGACCTCCAGACACACCTTTCCTGGAGTGCGCCCTGGCCAGAAGCTCGATCCAGTCCTCCCAAGCGGGGCCCGAATAGGCGGAGTCCGAGGAGCGCGCCGCACCGCCGATGCGGCTCGATGTGGATCCCGATGCTCTCTTCGCCGACGTCGCCGATGCATCGCGAACCCCAAAAACGGAAAAGAGCACCCGAAAACCACGACCCCAAGGGCGATGTCGGCGAAGGCGGCGGCGGCGGCACCGTCGGAGGCGGCCCTGAGAACGAGGGCGCCCAGAGGACGGCTACAAAGAGACCGACGTGGCCGACGACGAAGACGAGGGCGAGAGCGTAGACAAATACGACGCCAGACCATGTCCATATCCTCTGCCGCGGCGTCGTGCCCTGCGATCTCGATGAATAGCGGATAGGGGCATCTGCCCGCCCGAGCGGGCGGGCAGGCATCAACATCCACCACTCCTCGAGATCCCAGGGCGCGACTCAGAAGCGGTGGATGTGGACACGCTGCTACTACGCCACTGGAGCAACAGCGACGGCCCAGACATGCAGCAGTCGTATCTTTGTCCACAGCGCGGCCCCACAGAGGTCTGGAACCCCTCCTGAGGCCGAGCTTTTCATCCCGAGTCGTTCGCTGGCGGCCTGGAGGCCCTGCAAGGGCACCCGCAACCGAAAATGGCCAAAAACCTTCCGTCGCGATCCTTGCACGACGCGGGGAAGCCCCATCCGCCGTGTGGGGCAACCCTGGGCCTCCCTTTGGAAAAGCGCTCGACGACGCCCGGGCTGATGGAAACCACGCCAGGGCCCACCAAAACCTCCTGCAACCGCTTCGGGAACCTTCGACCGTTTCTGCAGTGCGACTCGAGGCTGTGCCAGAGGTTCGGCGCCCCACGCGTCAGGACGTGGGGTCGTGGTTACGCCTTCCCAAGCGCCTGAACCAAAGAACTACGGCGATACCGTCGGGGATCTGTGTATCATGTATCCCTCTCTCTACAACCTGCACCCGCAAACCTCCAGCAACCCTGTCGAAAACCTTCGAAGACTTTCCGTCGTGATTTCAGTCGCGGCGCGATGATGTCAGGAGACGGCGGCGGCGGGGGCGACGGCCGCGGCGGCTTGGGCGCTGCTTGATGGGGAGGCGGGGGGTCAGCAAATGGGGGGAGGTGAGAGAGGGGGCGAAGGCAGGCGTCCCTTTCGCGCATCGTTGGGGGCCCCCTCGGTCACCCCTCCGACTTCCCTGACCGTCCCAGAACCAGGAAGGCTACTGCAGGGTCCCTTTCCTGCAGCCCTCGATCCCCTCTCCAATACCCGTGGCCCTCCAGGTGGGCTCAGCAAACACAGCACCAGGGTCTTGGCAGCTAGGGCTGGAGGTTCATGCTTGTGGCACTCTGGAGCACCGGGGCGACCGCCCCCCCCCCACCTCGAAACGCACGGGCGGCGACGGCGCCGCTCGCTCATCGCCGATAAGGGGGCGCGATCGGGGGCGTCTGCCCAAGGGCGGCTGGAGAGCGCCCCTGCCTGCCACCGCAGGGGTGCCAACTCCCGAGCCGACCTGGGACAGGCGCTCCCGACCGCGGAACACACGTTATCCCGTCCTTCGCCCGCTGGCTAACGTTGCCCCAGAAGGCAGAGGTCCCATCGGCGAAGAGTGAACGTCTGGGAGTCGGTGCGTCCTCCCCTGGACCTACTGTCGTCGTGCTACCATTAGGTCGGGTTAAGCGGGACTACGCCAAATTCAGCCGGATTAAGCGGGATTCACCGGAATGAGCTGGATTTAGCTGGATGTTGGACCAGGGCAAAGTCAGAGCTGCACCTCCCAGACATTTCATGTTTGCCCACACTCTCTCAAAATCAACGCGTGATCTGCTGCGCTCTTGGCAGAGCATGCTGTGCTATATATTTCCCTGCGCTTCGCGCCTGTTGCGTGTAGGTGGTCCTTGCCTCAGCGTCTTGCCTGGATGTTTTGGGGGGGGCTCAGGTTATCGCGGCCGCCTGCGCCCAGCGCCCCCCAGGAGAACCGGACCTTGTCGGTCGTGCAGGTCCTGCCCGAAGCGAAAAGGTGAGGTTATCGGCCAACCCCCCACCCCCCCCCACCCCCACCCTGGATAACCCGCGCTATCGCCGAGAAATACAACAACGGTCTCCTGCACCCCCCTCGGGGGGGTGCAGGCGACCGTTTTTGAACGAGACGCAGCAGAACAACCTAAAATCGGAGGCGACCGTTTTTCCTCCTCCTCCTCCCCCTCTCCCTCCTCTCCTCCTCCTACCCCTCCTCCCCCTCCTCCTCCTCCCCTCCCTCCTCCTCCTCCTCCTCCTCCTCCTCCTCCTCCTCCTCTCCTCCTCCCTCTCCTCCTCCTCCCTCCTCCTCCTCCTCCTCCTCCTCCTCCTCCTCCTCTCCTCCTCCTCCTCCTCCTCCTCCTCCTCCTCCTCCTCCTCCTCCTCCTCCTCCTCTCCTCTCCTCCTCCTCCTCCTCCTCCTCCTCCTCCTCCTCTCTCTCCTCCTCTCCTCCTCCTCCCCTCCTCCCCTCCTCCCCTCCTCCTCCTCCTCCTCCTCCTCCTCCTCCTCCTCCTCCTCCTCCTCCTCCTCCTCCTCCTCCTCCTCCTCCTCCTCCTCCTCCTCCTCCTCCTCCTCTGAACGTTGCCCTCTGACGGCCGCGGAGGCGACGGCGGCGGCTTCGCCGGTAGGCGCCCCTGGGAGCGCCGGCGACGGGCGCGGCCCCGGAGGCGGCGACGGCCCGGGCGCGGGCGCCTCGAGGCGACGGGGGGGCGAGCTTAAGGGAGGGGCGGGTGGACGGGATCCTCCCCCCCCTGTGGGCCTCGACCTGCGGGAGCCAGCAGAGCTGGGCACCGGGCCCCCCGGAGGGCTTGGGGGGGCTCCCGCGCGGACCGCCCGCCCGCGGAGTGCCCAGTTGGCCGCGGCGCGCGCGCGGCTTGGGATCGCCGTGCATGGGGCTGCGGTGAAGGCGGGTGGGAGCGAGCGAGACAGCTTTTGGCGTTCCCGTTGGGAGCTTCACCCCGTCCCCCTCCCCCTCCCGTGGGTCTGGACGGGGGGGCGGAGCGGCGCGGTCAGGGGGGTCCGCTTACGCCCAATAGGGCTCCCAGATGCCCCAACATTGCATCAGAGGTGGCGCAATATCGTGCCAATTGGACCAACCAACATGGGGACCAACATGCCGCCAAAAAGTCGAACGATGCCTCCAAGAAGGCTCCAGAATGCTTCGAAGCCCCCCAAGGATGCCGCAAAGACGC